AGCACGCCAGATATGACTCTTTTCTACTTCGTTTAACAAGTTCATTGTAAAAACATACGACTGCAATTCTTCTTTATTCATGGCAAGAAATCTGACTTTTCCAATAAATGGCTTCATAACATTTCTTATTTCATTTCTTTTCGATTCTTCGTTCATCGAATAAAAATTGACTGCACCCAATTTTCTTTTAACTTCTTCTATGCTCCACTGATACACGGCGTGTAGTAAAAGTGATTCACTGACAGATTCATATATCGCTCGAGATAGCAGTCTATCAATTGTTGCAATTTTACAGCACTTAAAGTCGACTGTTCTAAATAATCTTCCTCCGTATTGGTTGAAAGCTACCCAGCAATAATAAATTATGGTTAGATCATCGATCTCACGTGCAAAATCGTGAATTGAACAAACGGTATTCAGTTTTATTTTCTGAATGATAAATGACCTGCATTTCTTTCTTAAATTCTCTAACTCGTATCTTAAACTCAGATGATACATGTCGAAAGCGTTTGTAATATAGGTCAATCCGGGATCGTCCGTCTGTACATAACTGTTTAAAATATATAAATTATAATTTATGACAATGTATCGAAATTAAATGAAAGGTGAGTATCGTGAAAAACTTACGTAACAAATTGTCTGATGGTCTCGATTGGATAAGGCATAAACAGTACTTTCGAATTTTCAAAATATATAATATAATGTTCCAATTGCCTGTGCAGGTCTTCATTTAACTCAGCTTCTGGTATAATAATCTCTTCGTTTTTATCGTTTCGGATTCGTATCTCACTCGAAGAAATCCTAAAACAACAGAAAAATATTTATTATTACTTTCAAACAAACATCTCTGTTGTACTGTACGGTAGTTGTACAACATGTTAATACTAATATGAATACTTTTGTTAATGTAAAGATTTTTGTCTAAGTGTATAGTTATTGACAAATTATCGATGGTCCTTTTGTTAAATAAATGGATTTTCGATACTTCCTTTATCACTCCCCGACTAGAATTAAAAAATAATTAAGGTAAAGAAAGAAAAACTCGTGTGTACAGTTTTTCTTTTAAAAAATACAAATAATACAGGATTCGTGTGGAATTGCTTTGTAATTCTCTACGAACAAAAATTGATTTTTTTGTAACTTATCGTATTCTGAATATGTGTATAGGTCATTGTATACTGTACGGTTATAATTAACTAGCTGTTACCTAAGGATTTTGCCGCGAGGATTTTGCGAGCAAACCCCATTTATATTTAGTATTTCAACAACTATAGTAATTGTAATATAACACCTACCGCTTAGAAGGATGAGAATTGCCGAGAATCAAGGGAAATGTTTTAAATTTGATCAATTTTCTGCAACGTTTACAAACGTTTTATAATCAGTAACTATAATCTAACTATAATCAAACGTTTTATAATCAATAACTAATTCGAATTTAAAACGGTTCGAACATTTTTAAAATCGAAATAGATAAGAATATTTATAACATTGTCTGAAATGTTATGAATTTAATACATCTAAGTACTCAATAANCTTAATCTAAATGGGGCGAACACTTCAAGAATATCCGCAGGGAGCTGGTTTGTTTCTGATAATTCAAGCCCCATCCTAAACATCCTGTGGAACTCACGATAGGCATGGTTAAAAAGGCCCTCTTACAACCGATAGGGCGGTATGAGCCAAATGAGAAAGTAAATTTACATTAAATATGTCTTCGATTTATTCATTATATTATAAGTTTAAAATAAAAACATCTATTGAAATACTGAATCAATATATAACAAAATAATAAAATTTTTAAATTGTTTTACTTTTTACTTCGTTCGATATCTTCGAAATTAACAATGGTCTTGTCTTCGATAATCGCGAATGCTTTGTTACATGAAACAATACTTTTACATTGTTAACAATTATTGTTACTGTAGAAAGCTTTGATATTTATTCGAAAACTAGCAAATAGGCCCGGCGTTGCTCGGGTAAAAGTAACAATAGCGAAAATTAAGATTATTAAGTTATAGTCAATCTTACCATTTTTTACAAAATGCAAGAATTGGGTCCCCCTATTTCCAGACTAATCAGAGAATTTTTAGATGGGTTAAAAAATGTTCGATTTCCCGCAAAACGAAAAAACTGCAATCTGCGTCTGAAAATCTTGTCCATCGCTTTGTCTTAACACTTCATTCTTAATACTTTTATTATCGAAGCCTTAATTCTGTTACTCTCCCCCAGGGTGGATTTTAAAAACTCCCTTCTTAGTGTGCGTTCTCAAGACGTACCTTAACTATGTACCAAATTTCAACTTTCAACTCCTAACCGTTTGGGCTCTGCGCTAATTATTATTATGTTGGGTTTATACTCGGTTCACACCGGTGGCTGCGTACTATGCCGGACCAGAGTTAAGGCATAGTAACCAAAACAAAAGTAAAATTAAAAAACTGTGTCAGTACACGTGTCTGTATTCAGGAATTTTTAACAATATGACAAGTATTCAATATAGTGGTCTTAGGTAGTGTGATGTATGTGTTTCTATTCAATTGTAATGTTCTCATGCTTTTGTGTAGTGTGTGTAGTATCATACCTGTACAGGAGAGAACGACAGATACAATAAGCACCCTATCGATCCTCCACAGATGCCTTATTTCCTGGGCGAGTTCTGTGTACTTGCTAATTTATTTAGTGCATGTGTTTTGTACATTGTGAGTGTACAGAATGGCTACATCTATAATGTATCTGATTTTATTGGATTTTTCAATGAGTGTGATGTCTAGTCTGTTGTGGTAAATTGTTTTATTTGTGATTACGGCTCTGTCGTAGTACATTTTGTACGTGTTGTTTTCCAATACCGTTTGTGGAATATACTTGTAATATAGTTCGTGGATGTTTACCAATTTGTTTTTCTTGGCAAGCTCTTGGTGTATTATATTTGCTACTTGATTGTGTCTATGTAAGTAATCTGTCTGTGCCAAGAGCTTGCAACCAGAAGTGATGTGTTGTACAGTTTCTGGCATGATGTGACATTTTCTGCATGTGTCATTTGTGAGTGTTGTATCTTTGAGTATGTGTTTTCTGTAGTTTTTAGTATTTATGACCTGATCCTGTATGGCAATCATGAATCCTTCCGTCTCCCCAAAGAGGCATCCCCGATCTAACCAGCTGTTTGACGCAGTTTTGTCAACAAAATCCTGGGCCAGGTCGTAAGGATGCCTGCCATGGAGAGCCTTTTGAGCCCATGATTGCTTAATGTTGTCTATGCTTTTTATATGTTGTGTCATGTCTGTATGTTGTGAGTGTAAGTTTAATGGTGTGTTATTTGAGTCTGCTAGAGTTACTGCTTTATGTAACTGTGATGTTTCTTGTTTCTTGTAGAAAAAGTCTCGCATTGACTGTATTTGTTTGTAGTGAAGGTTAACTATGTCAATCAGGCCGCACGTGGAAGGGTTAATCTTTCTATGGCGGATTTAGGATAATGTTGTTTATGCTTAGTAAGTGTTGTTCTTGTTTTCCTTTGGAGTTGCTCGAGATCTGTGTGAGTCCAATGTATAACTCCAAAAGAGTATATGAGTACTGGGATAACTTATGTGTTTATTGCTTTAACTGTGTTCTGAGGATAGCATTTAACCCATTTTGGTATTCTTTAATTAATCTTTGCTTTATTTGTGTATTTTCTGTTAGTTTGGCCTGTTGGAATCTTAAATACTTGTAAAACTCGCCCTCTTCCATGGATTCAATAACATCTCCATTTCCAAGTACAAATCTTCTTTTCTTCAGGACTCCTTTTTCTATGTTAAGTGTTTTGCATTTGTCTAGGCCTAGGCCAAACACCATTTGTATGTCTTTAGTGTGTGAGTGTGTGATTTGTAGGAGTTGATAAAGTTGCTTTTGTTTGGATGATAAAGTTTTATGTCATCCATGTGCACGAGATGTGACAGTGTAAACTGTGTTGTTTTTTCATGTCTGATTATTATTATTATTATTATCAACCCGTCTCGATTGTATATATAGATACATAAAAATAAATTTAAAATCTTTTTTAACGATAAATAAAGTATAAGTTTTATTTCAATAAACCAGAAACGAGTTGTGAAACCAAAAACCAGAAATTTTGGTAGTGCCATCTCTTATCATATTTTATTTTTAAAAACTTTTTATATTTTTAAATATTATAAAATGACAAAAAGCTTAGTTTTCATGAAAGAGGTAAGTTTTATAAAAACAAAAAATTGTAAACGCTAATAACGAGTAAAACCGTCATTAAATCTGACCTTACTGGAGCTAGACACGACTATTATAATCTCCCGTTACAACTTATTCTTCTTAAACTCTATCAGAGTTTTTCTAAACTTGAAGATAGTGTACCCATGAAAGATTAAAAAAAATACTAACGGCTGCTAAATAAATATACAGTACTATAATTAAAAACGAATAAAGTTACTTTTGGCATACACCTTATTAACCAAATTCAAAAAATTAGGTCTGAAAGTAAACTCTAGATGAGCAGAAAACTTCAACTATTTAAGTCGAGAAACACATGAGCCCAAATGCTATCTTGAAAGTCTGCATGTTGCATCTCTAAATTTTCAATTTGCATTCATTGGAAATCTTTTAATTCCAAAGAACTGTAAACAACTACATCCTGATACATAATTATATTAGTGGTCTGTTCTAGACTCCTAATTGGTTGAATCTTTCGCTAAACTCTTCAATTAACGAGTTTACTATATTCTGGTACATAAGTATAAACACCATTAAACTCGTTTTATTGGTTTTTTCAAAATACTTTTTTATTTGAAGAAAATAATTATTAGTTTTAGTTTTATTATCTCGCCTTTTAAGTTTACTTTCAAAAGATTTGATGTATGTAAACATAACATCAATACTTTTGCCAAAACCTTGTAATTTTACGTTCAATTTATTCATATGAACGAAGACATCTGTAAAAAAACATTAAATTGCTGACCCACTTATGAATCATTGATCTGAGGAAAGTTTGAGTCCAACCATTATAAAATTTTAACTGATTCTGACTAAGATATTTCAGCACATATTCATTTAAATAATAACCAAGAAAAAAGTTTTAGGTTTATTGTTGAAAAAGAGAAAATAAAACGACAAATATTTGAATTATTCAAATTTTGGTCTCAGTCGATGCGTGTCACCAAAAATGAGCTCGCGTGTCACTTCTGACACGAGTGTAATACGTTCGCCATCACCAGAGCCGGCCCTACCATAGGGTGAACGGAGCAGCCGCTCCAGGCGCTAAGTCCTAGGGGGCGCCTCAGTGGTAAAGAAAATTAAAGGGTATAAATTAGGGGCAACCAGGGAGCGCCATAATAGGATCTCGCTCCATCCTAAATCTTGCCTCGGGCCGGCACTGGCCATCACGGTTCTATAACAATATACAAAATGGTGAAAAAGTTAATTGACTAAAAAAAATTAACGTGTAGGGTCCCGTTTTTGACTATACCGTTGTTGTATAATGGATATGAAAAAAGATGTCCACTTATTCGCTTCTCTGAAAAAGAGTGTTAAAAGTAAAGCAGCTTTTTCCCTCCCCCAGAAAACCATAAATATGTATGATTTAAACAAAACAATTGAAAACATTTTACAAATCGGTTAATTTATATTAAGTTTATATTGTGCGCTTTATACAAATATTAAATTTTGGGTTTTTCTTAGCGGGGACACCAAAGTAATCATGCTCTGTGCAATTGAATATTTTTGAGAAAGTGATTTACAGCTGTTTTAATGTTTATATTGATATATTACTTAAGAATTTAATATTAAATAATACAAAATTAAGTTGTTCATTTTTTAGAAAACTGAGTTGGAGATAATTGAGTAACCTCAGGTAATTAACATGAATTTTAAATTAGAGG